GCCTCAGCACCCTCTCATACCACCACCTCCCCATAGGCTTAGAGGTGATCCCCAGCCGCCAACGTTATGAACTTCGGCGGAACGTATATGTTCCCCTGTACGCTATGTTACGATTAGAAGCTGGGTGTATCTAGAGTAATAAACTATTTGTACATATATCATAGTACGTGTTTTCGTGTCGACAACTTAAGGTAGGGAGGAGTGTAACAGTTGTAATTGTACACCGAGAACTAATAATGGGTGTCGTAGTAATGTTGACAGAGATAAGCACATGCATGCATGCATGAATAGCATGCATAGCACGAGGAATAAAAGTTAGTTACAAAACTGCATGTGTTTGTCTGTTTCAGTTCGCAAGCATAAGTTCGGCACGTTACACATATCATACCTGCAACGTGCGCTGACTTGGTCTGTAACAACTTAGCAACATCTATTCTGAGTGACTTTAGTTTTGGAAAACCAACATCACCTAGTCAAGCAAATAATTTTGTTTATTCATAAATGGCAACTTTAGCTTATTCATAAATGGTAACTTTAGCTTATTCATAAATAGTAACTGACAGTTAACCTCCATTATGTAAGCTGGCATATTTTCTTCATACTATTACTAATTCGTTTTCGTTTGAAAATGAGTACTTTTGTATGCGTTTTCACTGGATCGTCCACATATAATATATGGATAACGAATACTCTCATCCATGCATTCATGAAACATTGCTTGCTTGCTTGCATGCCTGAAAAGGTTGCAAGACGTCTTTAAAAGTGGAGACCTTTAAAAACGGAGGCGCTTTGGATCAGTGTGGATAGGCGAGAGACGCTGATGAGCGGCATAATTCGGGTAAACGTGAATATTTGTTCTGAGTTGAACTGAATTGATTAATATGCAACCATTAGTATTTTGAAGAAAAAAAAGGTGACCTCTTGAGAGAGCATCTGCCGGAACAGTGTTCACAGGCGTTTTGGTTTTGTAAATTTAACGTGAGCTAGTGGCCGTACAGTATCAACACGGTGAAATTTTATAGGATTGTATACTGTTTGGGATTTCAATATATATATATATATATATATATATATATATATATATATATATATATATATATATATATATATATATATATATATACAAAGAGATGGCTACGTATCGAAGAATTTATTAAAGATGACTAAAGTAAAGTATACAAATAATAAATTTTCGGCCACTTGACACGGCCTTCCTCAGAATAAAAACTAAGTTACAGCACATGGCATTTATACTATATAGCATGCTAAGTAATTAACCTGATCCTATTGTTGTACAAAATCATGCGTATAGAGTTAAGTCCTCTTCGATTAGTCAATAGCATACCAATCCAAAAAATTTCACATTCCCTTAGGTTGCCCTGGCGCCGATCAATTAGCATGAATTTCAACAATGAATAATCAGCACCATGACAATCCAGAAAATGGTTAACAATACCACAGGTTCTCTAATTACGTTTGATGTGAGACTTGTAATTAGCGAGTCGGGTCTTAAAATTGATAGTAGAACCCACTCCTTGCAAATTGCAAGTAACACAACTAGCAAGATAAACAACATTATCGGAGGTGCAAGTAAGATCTTTACCAATCTGAAATACTCTTTTAGAAACTGTGGAACTAAAGGTGGAACCTCCTTCTAAAAAGTTTTTACAACAGTCACATCGCTTGGCTTTACACCTAAAACAGCCTGTAGTTTCCCTATACGACCGGCTTTTAATTTTAAATGGATTAGAGGGGGCCAACAATTCTTTTAAGTTGGCATTACGTTTATACGCCACACAAATGGCTCCCTCTGGTAAAACCTCAATGGCCTTTTCATCGTTACAAATAATTTCTCTATGATGTTTTTTTAAGATCTTACGGATATCTGGTCCTCTGGGATTGTATTTGGTCGAAAAAATACATAAATTCCTATTATCTTTTTGCTTCTTTTTCCTGGCTTCATGCCTACTAATAGCTGCAACCTCCTCATATATATTTTTTACATGCTGTTTATCATGCCCACTGGCTATCAAATAATTAGCATACTCATTACATTTGTTATGAAAATCATCCTCATCCGAACATATTCTCCGTATTCTTAACGCTACTCCTTTTGCTATCCCCATTATCTGGGACTTTGGATGACACGATTTGGCATTTAAATATACATGGGCATCTGTGGGCTTACTATACACCGATGTAACTAAACAATTACCCTGATTGGTAATAGATAAATCTAAAAAATTCAAAGACTTTCCACCGATGTCCCTTGTAAATTGTAAGTTTTGATCAAAAGAATTGAGGGCAGTAAAAAAGGTATTAAGCCTTTGTACTGTACCTCTCCAAAGCACAAATGTGTCATCCCTAAAACGAAACCAAACCCGCAATTCTGGAAAATTTATTTTAGATTCTATAACTCTTAAATCAACACATTCAGCGACAATATCTGCATATGAGCAAGAATTCTTCGGACCCATTGCAGTGCCATCTGTTTGTAGCCAATATTGTCCCTGATATGTGGAACAATTCTTATAGAGGCAGATCTCCAAGGCCTCAATTATACATTCCACAGGCACATCAAATTTTTTCGAAAATTGTGTAAGCTTTTTACGCAACCGTTCCACTCCGGTTTTATTATTAATAGATGGAAACATATTCACGATGTCAAAACTTACTAATAAATCACTTTCTAATATGCCGGTGTCATTAAGCTGATCCACTATTTGAAGCATATGTACCGTATCCTTAACCCTACACTCAATAGAATCAACAACCACTTTACAGTATGTTTCCACAAAGAGAGACAAATTATCGGTGGGAGTCCCACAACCTGAGGTGATCACTCTAGCAGGGTTGTTGGCTTTATGTGTTTTAATAAGTGGGTAATTTATTCCAGGATGAACATCAGTGGCACCGGTAATAAATTTTAACCACTTATCCGATAAACCTAAATGTTTCCACTTTTCCACCCACTCATTAATATCCTTAAATGTATCTACCGAGGGATCTTTATCAATAATTTTAAAACTACCACGCTCCATTTGTTCTTTAACCTTATTTTGATCTAATGTTTTGTTTAATACAACAAAGTTATTGCCTTTATCTTGCATTCTTATAATAATATCTTGTTCATCTATCGATTTTGATCTAAACTCATTTAGAACTTTCCTTTCCTCTGGTTTTAAATTATCATCAATATTCTTGTATACTGTTTGTCTAAACAAATCATTTTCTACTCTGTTTAAAAATACTTCAATTGCTGGTATACTTGCCATTGGTGGATCTTTTATGGACTTCTGATAAGGCGGGTCTAAATTATTTACTTCTTTACTAGCTGGTTGCTTTGAATGAAACAATGTTCGCCATCTAATCTTCTTCTTAATGGTTAACCAAGCCTGTTGTATCTCATTCCAGTCAATTGCACTAGGTGTTGGAACAAATGTTGGACCATAACTACACAGCTGTACAAAATTTTGATCGAGGGAAATGTCTGTCAGATTAATAGGTTTACATCTCAATACAATACAATACAATACAACTTTATTTCACTCGTAGATATAGAAATACATAAATAATACACAATTTTTAAATAATAGGTACATAGATAGAATTAATATTTTAAATAACATTTTTAGAGCTTGAAAGCTAAATGAACCGTTAGGTTTTCTAGTTAGCTTCCATTGAATTTTATTCTTATTCTTATTAGATTAATATAGATTATGTCAGACAACTGAAGAAAATATTAATTTTCCATTAGATTTTGTTAATAGAAAAGCTGAAGAATATATAATAAGTAAAATTTATATCATATAGATGATGCAAATTTCAATAGGTATGTTGTTTAGCCAATAAGTAGGTTTTAACTTGCTTAAAGAAGGAAAACAAAGGTAGATTTTTGGTTATATCCGGAAGATCCTTCCATAAATCAATTGCTCCAAAAGAAATTGCCTGTTTACCGGTATTAGTTCGAACATATGGTTTATACATATTTAAATTAGATGAGTATCTGGTATTATAACTATATATGAACATCTCTTGAATATTGAAAGAAATTATCAAAAATGTGTGGTAACAAACCTTTGTGCCACGCATGAATAAATTTCAAGGCATGTAGGCGATATACATTTTGAACTGTTAAATTAACAAGCAAATTTAGTAATGGGAGAGCACTTGCAGTATCTTTACCATATAACTTTACAAAAAATATTAACCTGATTGCATGATTCTGTTTCACTTGTACTTTTTGTATAAGCGACGTGCAAGCGCTGCCCCATGCCAAAACCGCGTATGATATATATGGATAAATAACACTATAATAAATTTGTGATAATTGCTTGATAGAGAGATAGTGTCGCAGTTTGGATAAAATGCCAATGCCACGAGATATTCGAGAACATATATATGGTGTATGACAGCTCCAGGATATCGTGTCATCTAGCATTATACCCAAATACTTAATATGATCTTTCCGGATAAATTTTTTGTATGTTCCATCATTATTTTTAATTTGTATCGTTGTCGAAAAATCTTTTTTTCTGGCGGGCTTTATAATCATATAACTCGTTTTACTTATATTAATTGATAACTTATTAACATCGCACCATTCTTTAACCTTATCAAGTTCAGAGTTCATCAAAGCTTCAAGGGTTTTTAGGTTACTATAGAGGTAGCAAAAATATTTGTATCATCGGCAAAAATTTTAAATAATAAATTATCGGAGCAATTTGGAAGATCATTTATATAAATTAAAAACAACAATGGTCCCAGTGTACTCCCTTGTGGAATCCCACAAATCATAGTCTATCTCGTTGATTCAAAATCTCCAAGTGCTACATCTTGTTTCCTATTAGAAAGATAACTTGCAAACCATTGTAGTGGAAGACTTCTTATACCGTAAGCTTCCATTTTGTTCAATAGTATATTGTGATTCACAGTATCAAATGCTTTTGCAAAGTCTATGAAAACTCCACAAGTATACAAATCTTCATCGATTGACTTCCTCAATGTTTCAGTAATTTCTGTTTACTTATTGCCTGTGTGGTTGAATGTCCTTTACGAAAACCAAACTGAAATTCAAAAAGGATGTGTTCTTTCTCGACATAAGACAAGAGTTGCTTATAGACCAACTTTTCAAAGACGGACAAAGTTGAAATAGGTCGATAATTTGTTGGGTCAATTGTCTCGCCCCCTTTATCAATCGGTGTAATTTTTGAAATCTTTAAAATCTCAGGGACAACACCTCGAAGTAAAGATTGATTGAATAATTCTGTAAGTGGTTCAGTTATATAATCACATGCCAATTTTATGATTTTTTGTGGTAGCCCAATCACAGATTTTGTTACTTTTAAATTCATAATTAAATCATGTATCTCATTAGAGTCTATAGGTCGAAACATAAAGCTGTGTTGGAAAGACCTCTTAATATAACTGACAGGTGTAGTATTATGACATGGTATACTTTCAGCGAGTTGGTTACCCAGATTTATATAATGATTATTCAATTGATTGGCAATGCTCGTTCTATTTGTATATAGTTTATTTTTATATAATAACTTAGTTAATATGGGTTGAGAGGAACTCTTTTTCCTATTTATAACCATCCCTATTATCTTCCAGGTTGCTTTCATGTTTCCACTATTAAGTGCAAATTTATTTTTAAAATAATTCTTTCTAGCAATTTCTTTTAATTTGTTCAATTTATTACTGTAGGTTTTATACTTTCTTACTTTGATGGGATCATTAGTTAAATAATGCGTTTTAAACAGTTTTTGTTTGTGTTTTATGGAGACCAATATTGCGTTTGTTATCCATGGATTATTTTTCCTTTTTCTTTTTTTATTCGATAACCTACACACCGGAGTATGCTTATCAGTGATGTCCTGAAGTACGTCTATAATATTATTCATACTAACATTAACATCCTCTTCACTAATCAAGTTGGGGAGATTAATATTTTGAATGTCATTAAGAAACATATCTTTATTAAAATTTGAAAAGTCTCTAGAATACTGAATACGATCTATTTCAGGCAGTTTGTTGCCTATTGTGCAAAATACCGGCAAGTGGTCAGTTATGTCAGCTGTACAAATTCCGGCATTGATGACTTTTTCCGGAACATTAGTATAAATATGGTCGATTAATGTTGCTGTATGGTCGGTTATACGAGTAGGTTTTGTAATCAATGGCATAAATCCCATTTCAAGAATCATATCAAGATACTCGGACATAGGCGTACCGGGCGGGGGGGTGGGGGGGGCGGTAGCCCCCCAGTTTTTTGGGCAGTCGGGCAATATTCGATCAACAGTCGGGCAATTTTGGTTTGCCAAAAAAAAAATGGGACAAATTCTCCTAATTATGTCTAAAATGAAGTCAATTTTTTGGCAAATTTTGCAATTTTTCGAAAATTTGTGTTCTGTTCCGAAAAATATTGGTTGTCCGGAAAATTTTTTTGATCCCTAAAATGGTACACTGACCGAAATTTTTTTGGCGACGGGGGGGGGGGGGTCGCCAAAATAATTTTCCGGAAAAAATTTTTTGATACTAGTCGGGCAGAATTCGAAAAGTCGGGCAATTTTCTTTCCGCCCCCCTAATTTTTTCCTTCCGGTACGCCCATGTACTCGGATGTAAAATTGTTTGCATTGTACTGTAAAAAGTTAATATTTATATGGCCTATTAGTACAACTTCGTGACCTTTGTTGTTCAGCGTCACTAATGTATTCCTTAGGTGTTCATAAAAAATATTACAATCATTATTTGGATGTCTATAGATACAGCCAATTACAATGTTTTTTTTGTTTTTTATTCTCAATTTCAATCCAGCACGATTCGACACCTTCCAAAATTATTTCTAAGCCCTTCCTCTGAACAAAGTCTAGTTGTTCATCCACATAAAGACCTGCACCTCCAGCGTTTGTTTTCGAGTTAGACCCCAGAAACGTGTAGCCTTCTAAGGTTATGTTGTATAAATTATTTTCTTTTAATTTTGTTTCTGAGACAGCTATGATCTTGCGTGTTTCTTTAAGTGAGCACAAGAGTTCTTCCAATAATAATATATTTTTTTGGTAAACTTCGCATGTTGCAGTGTAAAATAGAAAAACCATTTTTAATCCTAGAGCGCTCAATTAGGGTTCCGGTTTTCTTAACACTATAGTATTTCGATTCAATATAAATTACTAATCGTTTTCCTGGTCAAAATTTTTTTCAGGACTTTTAATTATATCTGTAAATAAATCATTAGTTTCTAACAAAGAATACAAGCTAAAATCAAGCCATGCCCCTGTTACTTTAAGGAACTCCCGGTGACTTAAATCAAAGAATGGCAGCTCTTTACAATAATCGGCACTCGTTTGCTAATATTGTGAATATTTATATCTTTAAACGATATTAAGATAAGTATTAAACTTAATTACCTAAATGTTAATCCATTGTTGCGATATCTCCGCTTCAACGAGCACGCGGTCTTAATTGTCTTCCCGGTGGTTGATTTGCTTCGAACTTTGAAAAATCTTCTTCCGTTTCGAAAGCAAATATAGGTGTATTTTCTGATTCTCGAGTATAGATTTTCCCATTATTGGTCCATATAAAACGCCAGTTCAACCTCTGTCGTACCTGATTGACATTTCCAAAAAGTTTCTTCCTGTAGGGCGTTAATGATTCGGATATAAAGACTTTGTTGGGTCAAAGACAATCTACACCAAATATGTTTTATTTACACTAACACAAGCTCAAAAGCGAGTGCGAAACTATATACAACAAAAAAGATTATCAATAATTATACTGAATGTCCCAAGTTATCCTAGTGCAAGTGTAATTCTATCCTAGTTTAATTAACCAACCATGTTCGATATAAGATATTAATAATGAACTGTTACATTAGAAACCGTGCAAGGTATTTATAGTGTTAAAAGTACTGTCAATTATCGACATCCTCTGGGGGCGCGAAAGTATGGATGTCCACTGTTTCAATTTTCCTTTGCCAATCGTGCTTTTGCTCGAACAGATCTGCTTGACTTTCAAACTATAACGTCAGTTTGGTGAGGATTTGTTGAGGGATTCTTTGCGTCTAGGGATCTTTGGTTTCTCTGTTGTTGTGGAGTTCGATTTAACTTCGAATGGGTAAAGTTTAGTTACTGATCTGTTCCTATGTCCAGTACTTGTTTGATATTTGCTGCTCGTACTAGTCCGTCTTTTCCCTTGATTAAACTTTGTACAACAGAAGTCTCCAGTTAACACGTTTCGTTTCATCGTTTACTTGAACCACATCACCAACACGTATCTCGGTTGACAAGGATGGCGGTCATATCATTAAGGATGTCAGGGCCAGTGGAAAGGCATGAGTTCAGGCTTGCTTGGTCGGCATTTGGGCTGCAACTGCAATCGTACACAATACGGATAGGTGTGGTAGGGGAATCCTTTAATACAGCGTGATGTGGCATGTAGTAGCAATAACCGTTTGGTGGTTCTGGATTTGTAACTCTTTCAATAAAACCTTGTTTTAACTGTTCGTTAATAAGTTCACTGTATGTTTTCAACATCTTGGGATCTTTGGCTAATCTCCTTACAGTGGAACGGGTTCTTCCTCGTGCTACTGCATCGTTGGTGGGAAGGGGGTCATGGTTAGGTCTCCATGGTAACTTTGCACAGTATTAGAATGCGTGCAAGGTATTTATAGTGTTCAAAGTATTATCAATTCTCGACAATAGAAGGGTTGAAACACCGGTCACGTGATTATTCGATGTTTACCAAGAGTAGTCTAAATATACACTCGGAAATGCATCAGAAAGCCATTTTTTATTATAGAGCAAATGATATTAAAACTATAGTCTATTTCTAAAGACTTTCAACGCCTTCAACCAAGAGCAACTGAACCCTTACGAACTTACGAACATTTCTTGTATGCAGGGCCGGATTAACGTTTCGCGGGGCCCGTGGCATATTATCAGCGCGGGGCCCCTTGACCCCCCCCCCCAAAAAAAAACCTTCCGACGGCATTTTAGACACTGACTTCAGTAAGATTAAAAAATATCCTCTTGTATTTCATGCATTGAAAAGTTTCCTGTGTATTTACCAACAAAAAGAATTATACATCAATAATTCGACCGAACTGAATTTCAACCCAGTTTATACCATTAACATTATTATTTACAGGGGAAAAATAGCTAAACATGATACCGTCCATATGAACTTCTGCCGTCTTCCACAAAATTCAGCAATCTTTTAGTCAGATTTAACAGTTTACTGCAAATTTTGATATTTTCTGACCCCTATGATTTTTTTGGCCTCGCTCTTTGGAGCCCCTTGCCCAGAGAAGGACCAAAAAAATTGTTTGCGGCCCCGCTTTTAGAGCCTCGCTTTTTAAACTTTAGGGCCTCGTGTTTTTTTTTATTTTGGGGCTTCGCTTTTAGGAGCCTTGGACCCTTTGGGGCCCCGCGCTGTTTGGATTCTGCGCTGAAACAGGAATAAAAAAACCGTTTCGGGCCCGGCTATTTGTGACCTCGATTTTTAAATTTTGGGGCCTGAAGTTTTCTGAGGACTTTGGGCTCTTTGAGGCCCCGCCCTGAAACACTGAAACAGGGAACAAAAAAAAGTTTGATGGGGTCTCGCTTTTTAAATTTTGGGGCCCTCGAGTTTTCTGGGGGACTTGGGCTCTTTAGGGCCCCGCACTGGCGCACTGTTTGGGTCTCGCACTGAAACATGGAACAAAAAATTTCCGAAAAAAATAGAAGAGAGTAAGCGCGGGGCCCCCAAAAGCGCGGGCGGGGCCCCCAAAAGCGCGGGCGGGGCCCGTGGCATATGCCGCTTCTGCCATACGGTTAATCCGACACCGCTTGTATGTATATTAGCAAACGCGCTTAAAAAGATGCAGGTTGTATTAATTTGTATTGCAGCTTTATAGGTTCTACCTTTTCAGAAGCAGCACCTTAATTAAATTAATTTCATGCTTACATGTGCTTTTATAGGTTGCTATGAACAGTGTTATTTAGAGCACATCAAGCCTACTACAAACTGTACTGGATTGTGCAGTTAAAAGGGGGTTGATGCATGGGGTAATTATATGATCCTGAAGAAAAACATTTTCTCTAAAGTAATAACTCAAACTTTTAGAAATGTGCCATGTCCATTTTTTGAATTGGATACAAAATTTCGGCAGGAATCATATATCAAGAAGAATTTCGATTATGTTGACTATCGTGAAGAAGTACTTAGTACTAAAATTGAACGGATTCGTAAGAAAAACAAGTGCATCCTAGTAAGCAAATATGAGTCATTCATTTACATACCACTTCTCGATAGGTTGGCCAAAATTTTCTCCAATAAGAAAATTGCAAAACTGAGTTTTGGGAAACGTTACTAATGTGATGCTGAGATAGTTTATGATA